ATGAGATCCACTCAACTGTATGCATGACTTTGCACTTCTTCCATATAGCTTTATATTAATTTTCATAATAGTTAATATGATTTTGTTTCGTTTCGTATGAGCGATGAGGATGTAATGGGAGTCAATTTGGTGGTAATGATGGTAAAAACAATAATGATGATGATTATTATTATAATTTTAATTGTAATTGTTATTAGTGATAATGATAATAAGATTGTGACGATAACTACTAATATTGATGATAATAATGATAATGCTACTAATATTGATGATAATAATGATAATGTTACTAATATGATAATGATAATGATGTTGACAATCACGATGATGGTGATGATAATAATGATAATAGTAATATAATAATAATAATAATAATGATAATAATAATAATAATAATAATAATAATAATAATAATAATAATAATAAAATAATATTAATAATAATAATAATAATAATAATAATAATAATAATAATAATAAAATAATAATATAATAATAATAATAATAATAATAGCAAAGATGACGATGATGATGATGAGGATAATGATAATTACAATAATGCGATATAAAAATTATAATGATAACTAAAGCAATATCATTGACAACAACAAAAGAGTAAAGAATTAAATAAAAAAGAAAACGACAACTATGAAGAGGACAAAGAAAACGAGAACGACAAGCAGTTCAACGTCCTTTGTGAAGAAAGAAAGGGAAAAAAAAAACACGATGATAACTAAAAACGAACTAAAAAGAGAAGCTCGGTAAAATCCCGGGTAATTTTTCTCTTCTTCCTTCTGGTTCCCTCTTCTTGGAATAGTGAATGACCTGCTACGTGATAATTAGAACGAGTATTCTTCTAAGACAAAGGAGATGAAAGAAGGAAAAAAAAACAAAAAACATCGTGTTGATTAATACTGATTATCTGTATGACGCATCAAAATATTCCTTTTTTTTAGATACATATGAACGACGGATACGTAAATAAATGATGTATTTAAATTAACATCGTCTTTCCTGAAACAAAATACAAAATATAATAATAATAATAATATAAATAATAATAATGATGATGATGATGATGATGATAATATATAATGATAATGATAATAATAATAATAATAATAATAATAATAATAATAATAATAATAATAATAATAATAATAATAATAATCATAATAACAATAAAAACAAACAAACAAAGCAATGCGCATAGAAATCCGACATAGAACACAACCACGACGATGAAACCATAAAACTCCCCCCCCCCCCCCCAACGTATCGACTCAGTCTACAAGCTTCATCTGACGATAAAAATGGAAACCAACTTTATTGCCTAATGAGGTGTATATATAGCAAAGACTCGAAAAGGTCGCGATTTATGGCTCTCTCCTTACTTGTGTCTGCTTGTCATGTCATCCTCATTCTCCCGCTGACGAGAAATAACAAGACAAGGTAATAATGTCAGGTATTAACATCGTCCTCGGCGGCAGACCGGTAAACCCCAAGCTGTGATGGAATGAAATGACCGGCATTCCCCCTCCTAATCTTAAATTACAAAACGCCTCGGAATCTGTTAGTATGTAATCTTTCACGTAATTATAAATAGATAAATAAATAAATACATAAATAAATAAAATCAAAATGCAATGTGTCTGTTGTATCCTGTTGTGAGCATTTCCGTTTACTCGACATTGTCTTCAAATTGTACAATCACAGGTCGTGTTTTAAAAGTTTTATGCCCTTGTTGTTATCGCTGTCTGTGCCTTATCTGCGTGTTAAGGGTGGAAGCACAACGCTTATCAGTGAGAGATCATGAAGCTTCGGGTTGTTGTTGCTATCACAAGAAAAAATGTTAATGAACTTGATAACACGCAAGATGGCGGGTAGGTAGGAAGAAACAATGGAAATAAATAGATAGATAAGGAATAAATAGGTAAATGAATGGATGCATTAATAAAGGAACTGGATAAATGAATAGATGAATAAATAATAATGAATAAGAATGAATAATAAGTAATGAATAAGTTGATAAATGAATATGAATAAATAAGGTGAGAATGAATAAGTTGATAAATGAATAGGTGAATAAATAAGGTGAGAATGAAAATGATAAATGAAGTGAATAAATAATGAGAATAATAAGTTGATAATGAATAATTGAGATGAATAAATAAGGTGAGAATGAATAAGTTGATAAATGAATAGGTGAATAAATAAGGTGAGCATAAATAACAAAAGTTGATAAATCAATAGGTGAATATATAAAGCTACAGTAATTAATATAGGAGGAAGATGAATAAAAGAATAAATTAGGTGGGAATAGACAAGGGAAACGGATAATGAATATGTAAATGAAAAAGGCAAGAATAAGTAGGGAAATAAATAAGTGTAAAGATGAAGATGAATAGAAAACAGAGAGAGAGGAAGAGTTTGAGTTTGTGTGTGTGTGTGTGTGTGTTATACATAAATAAATAAAAATATATATCTGTATATATTACATATGTACATATTTAAATATATATCATATGTACATACACACACACACACTCACACACATATATATATATTTATATTATATATATGTATATATGTATATATATATTATATATATATATATATATATATATATATATATATTATATACACCACACACACGCACACACACACACACACACACACACACACACACACACACACACACACACACACACACACACACACACACACACACACACACACATATACATACATATATATATATATATATATATATATATATATATATATATACACACATTTAATATACATATATACATATACACACATGTGTGTTATATATATATACATACATACATACATATATATATATATATATATATATATATATGTATGTATATATATATATATGTATATATATATATATATATATATATATATATATATATATATATATATATATATATATATATATATATATATATATATATATATATATATATACACATGTATGTGTGTGTGTAAACATGAGATATCTGTATGAATTTGTTGCACCTGACGGCAGTAGACGGGATCTCTCATTGCCTCCCATACTTACCAAAGGTCATGATCACGCCTTCACCTTGGAGAGTGCGGGTCATGGCCAAATTTGCAAGATATAATTTGAGGTTCCTCTATTATTACTTTTTTCTGAATACGTGTTTTCACACACAAACACACACACACACAACACACACACACACACACACACACACACACACACACACACACACACACACACACACACACACACACACACACACACACACACACACACACACACACACACACACACACACACACACACACACACACACACACTGTAAAGCATCTATTGGGGTGCAAAAGGGGGGGGGGTCGAAGGGGAGGTGGCCCAGGGCATCTTTGTTTGGGGGGGGGGGCTATCGAATCAGGGAAATAAGGTAATTTTGTAATTTATATTTAAATCAAATTAAGTGTTTATTGCATATTTATGTGTTTACATATTCGAAATATCTCCATTTCTCCTAATATTTCGCAGTACTAGGCCATATACTTGATTCTTTGGGGAATACAATTAGAGTTGGCCCGAGCATCAGTAGAGCTTTGCACGTCACTGAAAAAGGCTAACAGTAAGCATAGCATTTTTTGTGTAACGCAAGTACGCTGGGAAAAACATGGTCTTGTATCCGTTTTCTTTATCGAACTTTCGTCAACAAACAATTTCTGGTTTACACCCGTATCCTATCCTTGTTGTTGTGTTTATTGGGGACAGATGCTATGGATACGACACAATTTATACTTAACGTAACTTTGGCGAGACTTTTCTAACAAGCATGATTTTGTGGCAAAGTAATAAATAATTGTGTCAAGTGGAATATTCTGGCTTTAACAGACACATAATTGATATTTATAAAGCCAGCAATAGTATCATTCGTTGAATACACATTAAATAATTTATCATGCCACTGTAATTCAGTATAAAAAGACTGAAATCGATTTAGTATAAGAGCTTCCTAAAATTCCCTCTTACCTTATATGCAAAAAATACCACCACTCGGTGAAGTATCACAAAGTAGGGCTTAAAGTCCAAAGTTACTCCAAACTGTGCTGGCTCGGCTTGCAGACGGAATCAGCTGTTTAGCTGCGGGTGCTTAAAGATGCCAGGTTAATTTAATTAATAAGGAACACAGGTAAATGACTGTAGTGGAGACATTTGTTTGATTTTAAGTCATTATTAGGAATAGTCTACACACTGAAAATTTTTGCTGCGGTTTGCAATGCGTAAAGTTGTCATAACAAGCGAATGTTTACCTACGGATGTTCTCTTTGGGGAGAGATTTACAAAATAACAAATCATAGTGTGATGGTAGTTCAGGATTTATGATTAGAGCGTTGAAATGAGCATTGGTATGCTTCAAGACGAGAGATTCTGAAAGCACAGATTTTTTATCATCGAGTGCTATTACATATTGAAAGTTTGTGCAAGACACAATAATAAAATGGAATGAGGACATATATGAGAGAAAGGCCTTGTATATATTTAAAACGTCAGAAAAGTGTTGACTGAAATATATAAATGAAAATATAGGCTAGATATTGGATTGAAAAATGCACACCAAATGTAAAAGATCAATGTTTTGTTTTGTATCTTAGATTTTGTGTAGGAAGCCTGTATTAGGAACCATATATATATTCTGAACATTTCCCTTTAATTTGTTTTTACATTATGACTGAGTAATATCTATATCATTTTCATCATTCATAGTCCATACTATGAGTAACAAAGAAATGGGAAATTGAATAGTTGTATGAGCAATGAAAAGTCTTCTAGATACAAGAATTACATGTGAATCCACATATTTATGCAATTAGATTTTAGAATGAAGCATTTTAATTTGGTATGATTTTATAATAATTCATATTTCACCAGAGAAGAATGAACCACATAATTAAACATTATCTGTAATTTTGCTTTTTTTTCAGACTGTGATCATCTAGTCACTTGTTGCCATCATATTGAACCCAACACAGCAAAATGAAGTTCGCAGAGCACTTAGCAGCACACATCACTCCAGAATGGAGAAAACAGTACATCAGTTACGAGGAGATGAAGGTAAAGACAACTGTTTATTTAGCAGAGAAAAAGACAGTTGAATAATCCACGTCTGTTCCTTTGTATATATTGAAAAACAAGAAATTTGCTAGAATGATATAAAAATAATTGACTAAAAAGAATAATAGTTAAGGCAGGAAAGATGCTTGTGATTAGTTATAGATATTTTTTTCTTAATTGAAATACAGTGATATGTGTGACATACTAAAAATATTTTTGCAGGCCATGTTATATGCAGCAGTGGAACAGGCACCATCACCAGAGGTCACAGAAGCAGAAGTTATAACAAGATACTATGCAAGATTTGATGAGCAGTTTTTCAGAGTATGTGATAAGGAACTTGCCAAAATCAATACCTTTTTCTCAGGTGGGTATTCTGCTTTCATACTGGAAACTTGAAGATATTTGAAAGATCTTTAATCTCAGTTATATTGAATTAAGATTGTAATGCCAATAGAAGTTTTTATTTATTTTGTTAATTAATAATTGTCCTGAACTTTATGTTCAGATAAGAATATTAGTTGATGATAGTAATGACTAAGTCTAGGGGTTTTGCATAGATTCCCGATGGAAATAAGTTTACAGTTCTGAATAAGATTTTAAAATATTCTAATAAAAAATTGTAATTCATTATAGTTAAAAAAAAATCCCTATCTCCTCTTTCAAGAAAGTAATATAGATATTGTTTCCTTAAACAGAAAAAATGGCAGAGGCTACCAGAAAATATACAACACTTAAATCAGACCTCCAGGCCTCGAAAGAGCAACATGGAGATGGCCTCAGGAACCGCAAAGGTTTCACTTTCCTTCCCAAGCTAAATGTCCCAGCAAGAAAGATGCAGGACCTGAAACTAGCCTTCTCCGAGTTCTACCTGAGTCTCATCCTCCTCCAGAACTACCAGAATTTAAATTTCACCGGCTTTAGGAAGATCTTGAAAAAACATGACAAGGTGAAAATCATAACATAAACATAGTCTTCTGTCAGTTGTTATGGTGACAAAGAGAAGAATATTTTTATCATTCTTGCTTTCTTATTTTGTCTCAGTATATCATATATCTTCATTTTGTGTCTGCAGCTTATGGCCACAACTAATGGTGCCAAGTGGAGGGAAGACAATGTTGACTGCTCTACATTCAATACAAATAAAGATATCGATAAACTAATTCAGGAGGTAATGTATTAAGGTTCTGTTGCTTTTATTATTTTGAGAATGAAGGAAATTGATTGATAAATGAATATATTATGAGAAAACATTCACATTTAGTTGGGATTATTTTCTTGATTGAGAAGAAATATTCTTTAATATAATTACCCCAGACATTTCACACCATGCACAAAAAGTGTAAGAATGTGTTCTCATTCATTTTATTTCCAGGTTGAAGGAACTTTTACATCAGAGCTGGAGCAGGGAGATCGTGGCAAGGCAATGAAGAGACTGCGAGTCCCTCCATTAGGAGAAGCTCAGAGCCCATGGACAACATTTAAAGTTGGGCTTTTCTTTGGAGCCTTCATTGTACTTGTTGTGTCAGTCATTCTTTCAGGTGAGATTTATAGTTCTGTATACTTTTAAGGTGGTTTCTATCCCATCCATCTGTCAGTAGATATGGCAAGTAGATATCTCGAAATTGATTGAGTGATTTTTTTTTTTTTTTTTTTTTTTCCTTCATGATTACAAATTCATTTTATTCATACAGTGTGAACTCCACACTGATTTTTTTTAACTGACATATTAGATTAATTTTTTAAGAAATAATATTTACCATGTACTGTTTCATTTCCCTTGGCAGGAATCTTCCACTGGGACAACCACAACATCCAAATTGTGCTGCGGTTATTCAGAGCGCCATTAATGTTCATCTTGTTCCTCTTCCTTATTGGTATTAACATTTATGGATGGCGGTCTTCAGGTGTCAACCATGTGCTCATTTTCGAAATCGACCCAAGAAATCATTTAACAGAACAGCACCTTATGGAGATTGCAGCAATTTTTGGTAAATTTAGTTCGTTGTATATTTTCAATGTTTTTTGTTTTTATGAGGTATACTTTTCTCTGCACTTATATTTACTTTTAAGTAGAAATATTTTTATGCAGATTTCAAAATATCAAACCCATAATTGTTATATTTGTTTAATATGAATGTTTTCATTATAAAGTGTTATGTATGAGTCTCCCTTCAAAACTGCAGTGTTATTCTTGCAATCATCATATTATATTCTATATATACTTTTACTAAACCATTGATCTTGTTATCCTCAGGTGTGATCTGGGCTCTTAGTGTGCTTGGGTTCCTATATGCCCATGCTCTGTCCATCCCTCCATACACTGTTCCATTAGCACTACTGTGTTTCATGGTTCTCTTCCTTCTCAACCCATCGCGCACTTTCCATCATGAAGCACGCTTTTGGCTTCTTAAGAAACTGGTAGGTTTGTAAGGCTTGGTTCTGACATTTGTTGTCTACATAAATTTTTGATATTACTGACGACATAATCAAGATATTGTTCAGTCGTTCCCTTGAGATTGTCTTGCTTGGTATTATTCATCTACTGATTGTAAAATAGTTGATGGGATGACTACAAATTTCAAAGTTTCTAAAATTGCATTCTTTTTTCAGGCTAACATGCTGCAAAAGTTCATATCGTAATTCTGGCATTGTATTTTACAGGGACGTGTTGTTTGTGCACCATTTTTCTTTGTGCAGTTTGCTGATTTCTGGCTGGGAGATCAGCTAAATACCCTTGTTCAGGTTCTTAAAGATTTTGAGTATAGCCTCTGTTTTTACATGCAGGGAATTGATTGGACTGACACTAGTAAACGTAAGTAAACTTGACAAGTTATTTCCATCCTTCTTCCCTTCCTTCATGATATTCATTTTTACAAGCTAGATTGTGAAAAATGTAATTTTGAAAGGAGGATATAAGAGTTTTGAAATTAAGAACTGTGAATATATGTGTAAAGAAAGAAAAATACAACCCCTTAGAATTCATTTTATTTTTGGAATGTCTTCAACACTGTTAGATTTATATTTTCTTCATTTTCTCTTACAGCTGTAGATGATGCTGTGTGTATAGACAAGACAACTGTGGTGCGCAGCATTGTGGCATGCCTGCCTGCATGGTGGCGTTTTGCCCAGTGTCTCCGTCGTTATCGCGACACTCGAGAAATGTTCCCTCATCTAGTCAATGCCTTCAAATATTCAACAACGTTCTTTGTAGTAACATTTACATCCTTGACACATGTATATAGAGGTTTGTATATGTATTGGTATCATAATTCCTTGTAGACATAGACAATGGAATTAACAGTTATTGTATATATTTATTTGTTATATATATATGTGTGTGTGTGTGTGTGTGTGTGTGTGTGTGTGTGTGTGTGTGTGTGTGTGTGTGTGTGTGTGTGTGTGTGTGTATATATATGTATAATAGACAGTTATATATGAGAAGTTGACTTTATGAATAAGCAAAATACATTTAAAGTATTCTGTATATACAAATTTTCAGTATTGCTATAAGAACAAATAGGAGTCACTGATATGAATACTGACATGTTAATTGATGATGTCCTTATAATCCCTGCAGATCAGTATCTGGACAGCATTAACAACCCATTCTTCTACATGTTGGTTGGTTCAATGGTGTTCAGTTCATGTTTTGTCTTCTGGTGGGACATGGTGATGGATTGGGGTCTTTTCGACAAGAATGCTGGAGAGTACAAATTCCTCCGTGAGGAACTGGTTTATTCATCGCCAGTAAGTTCACATTTTGCTGACTTCTATGAGGTTCTAAAATGGTTTAGCCTCATGGGAAATTTGTGAAATATGTATTGTTAGGAAATGCTTGTGCTTTTTATTGACTATGTTTATATTAGAATAAGTTATACATCTTGCAATGTGAATGATCATAGTTTTAGCATGTATTTTAGAATGTGGTTAAAACTTTAAATAAGGCTAACCATGATTCTTTTAATTTCAGTATTATTATTACTTTGGGATCGTAGAGGACTTCATCTTGAGGTTCAGCTGGACATTTTCACTGACCTTAACAGAGCTGAAAATTGCCAACAGTGAAATCATTGTCTCTATTCTGGCACCTCTTGAAGTGTTCAGGTAAATGTTCTAAGACTGGATGTTTTTTCTTTCTTTCCTTTCTTTTCTTTTCTTTCTTTCTCTCCTATTTTTCAATAGTTGAAAGTATGTAAGACATGTACTACTATGATTCAAAAGGGTATAGGTCTTTTAGCCTTTGTTATGATTTTCAAGGAATTGCTGAGGAAAATTTATAGGATATTTTGATAGTTCCATCAAAGTGGAAGATATGGTGTGAGTTTACACAGAAGAAGCAAGAACTTAGGTGGTCCCTATTGAAACATGTAAAGAATTTTGATAAAAGTCAACTTGACTTTGATTAACATTTTAATGGACTATAAAAAGTTTATTCTTTTATACTTCTAGTTTGTGTTCCACGTATCCTTAAAACATTTTTATTGTTCTTTTTTTGTATTTTCATGAACAAAACAAGATTTTCAGTGTTCCTTCAGGGTAACCCACATTAACTTCACTCTTAATGAACTCTTATTTATTTATTTTTTTATTAACTATTGATTACTTAACTCTTCAGTCATTCCTTAAAGCATAGGGAAAGAAGAGATTTCATCATTAGACAACTTGTATTTTCTTAGATTTCCAATTAGAGTTCCGTCTGGGATATAGCTGGGCTGGTTTTGAGTAATTCACACAGTCATTGCTAAACCACTCCTTTTTTTGTTTACCTGTGTGGTAGGGACTAGCCACAGTTTATTTACATGTGATATTGGTAATGTTGATTCTTAGGTGCCATTTGAAAAGCTTTTCAGAGTTTGTGCTTCTTTTAGAACTTGATAGTGATAGTTATACCTTTTATTATAAGATGAAAATTACATGAACTCTTGATTTAATTATGCAACATAAAAAAACAAATGTTTTTCATGCTCAAGTGGAACCTATGCGCTGCAAATTCTATTCATTGATGAAAATCTGATTCATAAACTTGTTTGTTGACAGGAGATTTATCTGGAACTTTTTCCGTCTGGAGAATGAGCACATCAACAACTGTGGTAAATTCCGAGCCGTTCGAGACATTTCCGTTATACCCATGGATGCATCAGATCAAGCACAAGTAAGTTGGGAAAAATTGCCAGAGGTGCAGGAACATCAAATAAGCAATTTATGCATATGAGCCTTTATATAAATCTTCATGAAGATTTCATTGCTATAAATTGAACTGTAACAAGAAACCGTAAAGTAAAGTAACGATTCCTTTTAAACAGATTGTTAAAATGATGGACGAAGCAGAGGGAGTTGTCAACCGAAAGAAAAAGAAGGCTGGCAGTAAACCACGTAAGGCTAATGATACTCGGCCTTTGCTTAGTGAAGGAAGTGGTGGTGCTGGTGAGAGTGTTGACGAAGAGGCAAATTACCTTACCGTCACCTCTGTAGAGCTTCGCAACTGGTTCCGGGGCATAACAGGACTTCGCAACACACATACCACTAACTCTTAAAAAAGCAGAAATTTATTCTGGTGAAGGGAATAAATTGATAACAGCATGAATGTTATATGTGTACTGGGATGTAGTATTTTAGGCTCTGTTGGAATTATGGTGACACTAACTCCTCTATTGGGACAAGTGTGTATTGAACTGTTATAGTAATATACTAGTCTCATGAGTGCACATTTCTGGTCACATTATCCCTCTTTTTTATTTTTCCCACTTACCCTTTCTTTTCCATTTTATAACTCATTGAGTTACGCTAAACCCAAATGAACAATTGTATCCTTGAAAGCATTAAAAATCCTCACAATGGGAATAGGTTCATCTTCCTGAATTACTCTTTATGAAAGTTTAGTACTCTCTTATCCTCAGTATTGTAAACACTTAGTCATTGCATGCTATTCTTTCAGTGGTGTAATACTGTAGACTAGACTTATTGTCATGTATGTATACTGTCCTGATTTGCAATTGATTTTATGTATATTAAAAAAAAGCAATTCATAAAAATAGAATTCTGAAAGACAGCAGAATATTAGGCACGTTACATTTGAGGGCAAGGTGCAATGTGATTGTTTGTCCATAACTGTTTTATGTGGATGTATTTAAGGCCGTTTGGTTCAGGAAGTGCAATTAGTGTTTAATGTAGAGAGAAAAAAACTGTTTCATTTTCTATTTTTGGGGTAAATTAAACAAAACAATGGGGGATATTGGGAATATGTATTTATATAATGTATATAATAAATTAATATTTTATCTAGTGCTAGAGAGTATATTCATTTGATTTTGTAGGTTAAGAATAAATCTTATAATTTTTCTCAATATATATATTTTTCCAATATGAAAATTGTTTTTCCATTGCAAATTACTAATGAACTTTAAATTCAGATTTTGATTAGATGTGATCAAGATATTACCACAATGTCCCTTTGAATGTATGACAACTGTACCTATTTCATGTGTGTTTGAGAAGATATGCTAAAAATCATGTAATTTTATTGTAAACTAATAACATTTTATTTCAGAGTTTAAACAGTTCATGTTTCCCCATATGTTGTAGTTAAAAAAAAAACACAAGTTGTAAATGCTGAAATGATTTTAAGTTCTTTATGTGTTCAAATCAGAAACTAGTGAATTTTAAGTTTGTGGACTTACTTAAGCTATGAATTCTTGTTATATCTGAATTGACCTTTGGACATTTCAAGCCAAAGGTACTGTTCATAAGCAGTACAAGAAGGTTAAATCGTTTCCTCACTCCTTTGGAGTTACTAAAATGTATGCCAAAGAAACAAAAGCACATCCAGTTTAATAGTCTGTTCATTGTAGCCAGGTTATTTGGAAGTGTTCAGTGATTACTTCTGAGCCTGTAAACCACTTTATGTGATTGGCTTTACGTCCTCACTTTGCATTCCATGGGGTATATCAACACGTGATATCCAAACTCCTTCCAGAATTTCCATGTAATTATGCCTTTCAGAAGCCAGGACTTACACCTGCTCTTTGAGTACAGAGGTCACACATAGGGACATGAGCATACTCTCTTTTAGGTTTCTGAGCTAAGAGTCCAACTGGGAAATTCAGGGTATTAGATATCATTTGACTTTTAGGCTGACATGTAGGGTAACTATAGAACATCCAGTCTCAGAAAAGGAAAGAACCTGCACTCACCTTAGTGTACCAGTTTCACCAACTCTCCTTTTTTTATTTTAATTACCTGATAATATTTACAGTCATTTGTATTTTGCATTTTTAAAACTCTTACACAGTATTCTTAATGGTTTACACCACTTTGTTACTTTTTCCTCAATGATAGATTTGGTGGAATAGAGTACGCTAGAGTGTAGGGTGAGTTGACAAATTTTCCCCTTTCTGAAATTGGATGGAGTATAGAATTTCTTGTGAAGACTGAAAATGCAAGATTTGTGTTGAGCTAGTGATTGACAGTGGAACAAAATATAGTTACAAAAATTTGACTTGAAATGCATTGGTATGTAGCTGTTGTTTGTCATGGCACTTGAATTTGATATTTTTCTTGCTGTTAAAGATATAACAGAAATAATATAAGAAAAAAAAAAGAGGAGAAAGACAAAACTGAAAATATTTTTCATTTTGTATAAAGTACTGGAAAATAAGGCGTTCTTTACATTTTCCTCCACATTTTGTTCGTCATACACCAGAATTGAAATACCTGTTGTGAATCTTATTATGTTGTTGGCTTAGATACTTGAATTTTGAGATCTATAATTTAAAGTTTCAGATTGCTTCTTTTAAGTTAGTATAAAGTTATTCATGTTTTTACTATAAAAACAGGGTAAGAGAAAGTTAATATGAATGATATCATATGTTATAACTTTTCATCATCATTTTCATTATCATCTTCTTCATCATCATCATAATTATTGCACTACTAAATATTTTTCATGGGTTAGATAAAGAAACCACTTGGGAAACAAGAGTTTACAAATTAATGAGGTATAAGGGTAAGCGCACACATAAAACTGCAAGTTGGTTAACTGTTTTATGAACCACTTAAAACATATGAACAATGCACACATATCCTTATGTATATAGCTGATTGACAGAATACTAGGAGAAATGTCTGAAACAACTCAAAATGAATAAGCAAAAATATTTAACCATAGAGGATGTGTTGCCATGTACCTAGGGTGTCCAATACTTGTGTAATATTCATCTGGTCAATAAATTATTGGCCAGATGATTGTGTGTGTGTACCTACCAGTACTGTTCATAACTAAGAATATTTGTTATTGCTGTTCAAAGCACAACTTTCTTAATTTCCCAAGGCTAGCACTTCACCTCAGTGGCAGAGTACTTTAATGTAGTCGTGGGCTAGAGGTGGGCACCACCACTATTACTTTTTGGACAGGTATTTCCAGTGCTAGTTTTGAAGCTGTTTTGCCACTGACAACGGAAATGTTTTCCAAGTGATAACGGTGAGCAGTACATTTGAGTTTGTAAATCGAAGATCAAAAGATAGTGTTCTAGTATTGAAGTTTTGTAGTGCAGTATAGTGTTGCTAGTATAGTGGTATAGTGAAGGGTAGTGTAGGGTAGTTACTGGTTTTTCCTGATGATGGCACTGAGAGTCGCATGAATATCATAGCTGTACTTTCTATATATGATTGTATAAGCTATCAGTTATTCTCATTTATTAATCTTTAGAGGTGTACCTTATCAGAAAAGATTACTTCATCTTTTGCATTTGCCGTTCTGTGACTCCTTGACCTTGACTGGCTCCAGTAATGACATTTCTATAATTATGTTAGATTATGATGTTTAAATCTCTGTTAGTGTCTCCTTCCAGGTAGCATTTTTTTTTCCTATTGAAATTTGAACAAGAATGTTTCCCTCCAACTTTCATAAATGGAAAGTGAATAGGGGTCATTGTTATACTTTTTGGAAATAGTAAATTAGTTCATTAAAACAAAAAGTATTACATTTACGACTACTTAAAATAAAGGCATTATTTTCAACAATTACTAAAAAACTCATCAACTTTAAGTCTTTGTATTCTGTTTTATATGCAGTTTATTTTTAAGAAGAACCAAATGATGAAGAAAATATATACACATTGAATCTTACATTCATTTCTTTCCATTTGCATCCTTTGGAATGTATTTTACTCTCAGTAATGTACATCAAGATAATATGGAGTGATGTGCAGTAATGTAATAAAATGTGAATGTCATTATAACTGAGCACAATACAAGCTCGTCATTCTGTTTTAATGCAATGAAACTCTTATTCAACGGTGTAATTGGAACAGACGGGCAACAAAAATAAACAACACTTATTGACAGTCATACTGTACGTATTCAAATATCACAGACCTTTGTTATAGGTAATGTTTTTGCAATTATTCTTATATTAATAATGATAATAATAGACCTTACTGTTGTTGTTGTTGTTACTATTATTATTATTATTATTATAATCTAGATCATGGTCATCATTTTTCTTTATTTCTTATTTTTATCTTATTTTTTTCTACTTTACATTCTTATTTTACTTCCATTTTGCTTTTTATTTTATCTTGCCTACAGATAATTTTATTATTGGTACAATTATTGTTATAAAAATATTTTTAAAAATAATGATGGCAATGATAATGTAACAGTAGTAAAAATAAGGCCCCAATTATTTTATTCTTTGGTTTATGGATTTTATTTCTGAAAAACTCGACAGGTAGTAGCAGAATAAAAATGAAAATAATTTGGTGCTTTGACTTTTTTTTTTTTATATATTTTTTTGATTTCTGGAAACATGTGACAGGCGATAAAAAAATGAATGAAATACCGATGATAAAACTACATAGGGCCGCAATTACTCTATTTCTTCAATCTACGGACCTCGACTCCAGCACCTTCAGATGTATTTCGAATCACTTTACAAGTCACCAGAAAGCGAATGGAGACAAGGTTATAATTTTTTATTACTTTTGCATTGACTTATTTTCAATATGTTGAACAACGGCGGTAACGTCAAAAAATTTATTATACAAATATGTTTATTCTGCTCATATCGGCATCTTTTTCTTACTTATTTTTTCGAAAATCAAGAAATCTGTATACAAGGAATAAAATAACGCCTAAATATCGCCTAAGGTTCACAATTTTATCATCATCACCATCACCACCATCATCACCATCAGTACCACCACCAGAATCATCATCACACACCAACACCATCAACCACCACCACCACTGGCAACACCACTATCATCATAACCATTTTCATCACCACTACCACCGTCATTACCACCACCACCACCATCATCATTATAATCATCATCATCATCACAAACTCCACCACATCATCATTATAATCATCACCAACCCCACCACATCATCATTATTATTCATCAATCATCACGAATCATCCACCACATCATCATTATAATCATTCACCAATCATTATAATCATCACCAACCACCACATCATCATCACCAACCCCACACATCCGCACATCATTATATAATCATCACCAACCCCACCACATTCATTATTATCACCACCAACCCCAGCCACCATTATTATAATCATCACCAACCACACATCATTATAATCATCACCAACACCACACCATCATTATTATAATCATCACCAACCCCACACATCATTATAATCATTCATCAACCCCACCACATCAATTATAATCATCACCAACCCCCACACATCATCATTTATAATTCATCACCAACCCCACACCACATAACATTCATAATCATCACCAACCCCACTACATCATCATTATAATCACCATCACCAACCCCACCACATCATCATTATAATCATCATCACCAACCCCACCACATCATTAATAATCATCATCACATCATCAATCATCACCAACCCCACATTTATAATCATCACCAACCCACCACATCATTATAATCATTATCACCAACCCCACCACATATAATCATCATCACCAACCCCACCACATCTTATAATCATCAACCCCACCACATCATTATAATCATCACCAACCCATCACCATTATACATCATTATAATCATCATCACCAACCCCACCACATCATTATAATCATCACCAACCCCACCCACATCATTATAATCATCACCAACCCCACCACATCATCATCATCATCACCACCTCAACCCATCATTATAATTATATAAACACCATCACCACATCATTATAATCATCATCACCAACCCCACCACATCATTATAATCATCATCACCAACCCCACCACATCATTATAATCATCATCACCAACCCCACCACATCATTTCCTTCGCCACCACAAGAAAACAACATCATTGCCAGCAACAACAATTATAATTACAGCACCAATCATCATTACAATATTAATTATTATTATTATTATTATTATTATTATTATTATTATAAGTGTGTTCTCAAGATTATTACATAATTAATATATTATTTGCATCAGCAATAAGACGTGTAAAAATATCGGATAACATGTCAAAAACACTCAAGTTACCAGGAAAAATCATTAATATAAATATTATCTCGTAGTTAGCGGTACGATTTTTTTTCTCTCGTGAAATATATGATTTTTAAAGATGCCAACGCGGTTTGTTTCATCTTTTCAGTTGGAGATTAATATGTTTAATAATCAATTAGTATGTATGATGTTAAATAATCGTATTTGAGATACTAGCACTTATTATCCAGAAGATAACGTCGAACTCAGTTAAAACTAAAGTGAACTGCTTTTATGATAATAACAGATCTTAGAATTCAGTTTCAAACAGATCAGTCTAGTTTCAGTTTCATTCGTTTCTGCTTAACCGTTATTTTATCACCAAAAGTTTTGGCATTATCTCCGAGAGCATTACAAAAATGTGACTTTATTTACCTCAAAAAGAATACTAACAGAGGACTGACTTCACCCCTAAAAACAATATGAACAAGGGAACTGCTATCACACCTGAGATGCCAGTAGGTCACAAGAATGAAAGTTCCTGTTTGGCGTCCGGGCAAAAGTGACAGCTGATGAGGTATTTGTCGTTATTCATTGTTCATTATTTATTTCTATAAGCATTTAAAGAAGAGAACATCTTTTCAAAGACATCCAATAATCGTCTTGATTCTTGTGGATAATCATGGCACTATTAATTCATATTTACTAGTAAAATTATTCTCTCTATACAGCACGACAAGAGAACAGCTTTTCAAAGTCATCAAATCATATTTTAGAGGAATATTTACTGAAAATAATGATTTTTTTGATGGGCGTTGCCAGGACCTGCGGACAATGTTCGCAAAACAGGATTTTTGATTATCATGGCCTTGTTAACAAAGGCCCATCATTTCCCCAAATTCGTTGTAGATAGTGGACTGACATCACCTCAAGACATGATCACTTCAAAACGCCATAAACAAGACCCTGACATCACTTCAAGACACGATAAACAAGACCCTGACGTCACCTCAAGACACGATAGACAAGACCCTGACGTCACTTCAAGAGACATCACTTCAAGACACGACAAACAAGACCCTGACATCACTTCTGACACCTGACAGACCCTGACATCACCTCAAGACCCTGACGGACACGATAGACAAGAAGACATCACCTCAACAAACACCCAGACATCACCTACGAGACCCGACATCACCTCAAGACCCACGTCACTTACCAAGACCCTGACATCACCTCAAGACACGACAAACAAGACCCTGAACACTTCAAGACACGACGAAACAGACCCTGACATCACCTCAAGACACGATAAACAAGACTGACATCACTTCAAACACACGATAAACAAGGACGATAAACAAGACCCAGACATCACTTCAACACACGATAAACAAGACCCTGACATCACTTCAAGACACGATAAACAAGACCCTGACATCACTCAAGACACGATAAACAAACCCTGACATCACTTCAACACACAATAAACAAGACCCTGACATCACTTCAACACACGATAACAAGACCAACATCACTTCAACACACGATAAACAAGACCCTGACATCACCTCAACACACGATAAACAAGACCCAGACATCACTTCAACACACGATAAACAAGACCCTGACATCACTTCAACACACGATAAACAAGACCCAGACATCACCTCAACACACGATAAACAAGACCCTGACATCACTTCAAACACAGTAAACAAGACCCTGACACACATCATTCAACACACGATAAACAAGACCACATCATCAAACACAATAAACAAGACCTGGACATCACTTCAACACACGATAAACAAGACCCAGACATCACCTCAACACACGATAAACAAGACCCTGACATCACTTCAACACATCAAGACCCAGACATCACCTCAACACACGATAAACAAGACCCAGACATCACTTCAAACACGATAAACAGCGATAAACAAGACCATCACTTCAACACACAATAAACAAGACCTGACCGATAAACAAGACCCTGACATCACTTCAACACACGATAAACAAGACCCAGACATCACCTCAACACACGATAAACAAGACCCTGACATCACTTCAACAAGACCTGACATCACTTCAACACACGATAAACAAGACCCTGACATCACCTCAACACACGATAAACAAGACCTTAACATCACTTCAACACACAATAAACAAGACCTGGACATCACCTCAACACACGATAAACAAGACCCAGACATCACTTCAACACACGATAAACAAGACCCTGACATCACTTCAACACACGATAAAAAGACCCTGACATCACCTCAACACACGATAAACAAGACCCTGACATCACTTCAACACACGATAAACAAGACCCTGACATCACTTCAACACACGAAAAACAAGACCCTGACATCACCTCAAGACACGATAAACAAGATCCTGACATCACCTCACAGATAAACAAGACCCTGACATCACAAGACACGATAAACAAGACCCTGACATCACTTCAACACGATAAACAAGAGATAAACAAGACCCTGACATCACCTTCAAACACGATAAACAAGACCTTGACATCACTTCAAAACGCCACAAACAAAACCCTGACATCACTTCAACACATGATAAACAAGACCCAGACATCACTTCAACACACGAAAAACAAGACCCTGACATCAC